ATGACAACATAAAGCACACATAAGACAATATACGTACGTAAAACAGAAACTAAAAAACCAAGTCACTTTCGATCAAATAATCGACAAAAAGGTTGATTTGTTTATTATATGTAATGCATATCAAGGTAACATTTAGTCGGCAGCATTAAATTCCATATATCCTGAAAATTCCTGTTTGTCTTATCAACTTTAGCTGACTTTAGTATTTATTTATGTTTGTATGATGTTCTTGATATCACCAAGCAGGTTAATCATATTAATTGTCATTTTTTATTAACCGGTGATACCGCGTCTCTTCCCGCACTTTTTTTTTATTTTTTTTTTTACCTTTTTTTTTATTTTTTTTTTTTCTTTATTTTATTTTTTTTCATTCCGTATTTGGTCACCTCAAAATGTGGGGACAATCATTTGAATTCCACGTTCTGGTACCCCGAATTTGTTATCTTTTCTAATGTTTAAAGTGTTACCGTCTCTATTATCTACATAATTTAACTTCTAATTTAACTTGCAGGGCAGTTCAAATAACATCTTGGTCTACCTAAACTGATAAAGCCATATTGAGTTATTGATTGATCATTATCTACATCATACGACACAACACATACAGCACATATAACACATATACAACACATAAGACACATACAACACATACAACATATACAACACATACGACATATACAACACATACGACATATATAACGCATACGACAAATACGTAGGTACGTACCTAAAAAAAACAATGAATATTTTGATATATATATCTTGAACTTCAGTGTATCAGTATGGTGTATTAATATGCATAAATCCCTGTAAAAAAATGTAACCGACCTTTGGCTTCCGATTGAGGCTGTTGTTCATTCGATAAATTCTTATCTCCGATGCCTGTCCAAAACGGTTCCTCAAAAAAACGGGTAGATTAAACGGATAACGGAATTTCATTGATGATTGATCATATTGAATATGTCAAATTGTCCCGAACATCCGAATTTTTCCTTACAACATAAGCAACATAAGGTGTGTAATTACAAGTAAGTTTGGTTATACTTCCTATTTTGGTGACTGATAAGTTTTTTTTTTAAACTACAAAATGTACGTACTTTTATTTTCCCGGAAAATATATAAATGGTTTATGTAACCCGAATTTGTTTATTTATAATATATATTATATTAAGAATTATATACGTACGTATTATATATATATATTATAAATATACATATATATATTATGTGTATATATATATTTTCTTTTTTATAAAAAAAAAAAAAAAGATATATATATGTAATACTCGTTAAGTTTCTTAATTTCTTTTACCGATTTTACTATATCGTCTTGTATAAAAAAGAAAGTCGCTAAAAAAAAGTCACGCTCAAGTTGTATTTATTTGGCAACTACTTGAGCTTGGTGCTAAATTTTTGTTAAAAATGGGTCATCTAAATAATCCCACTTGCGTTGATAACATGGTTGATTCTTCGCTTTCCTCTTTAAACTCTTTAAACTCTTTAAACTCTTCAAACTCTTCAAATTCTTCAAATGTTAAAATATCTACCCCTTTAACATCATCTAATAACTCGATGTCCTCAATGTCTTTTAATTCTATCAATCAACGACCTTCTTCATCTACTTCTATATCCACTACAAATGTCATTCTTGATTATTTGTTGTATTTGTCTATTAATGCAAGACTTGATCAAGCAAAATTCAATTTACAATTTATAACCGAGGAACAACTGCAATTGGCTGCTTTTTATCGCCGAAAAGGCCAAGATGTCACTCCGATTGTTGAAGGTATCTTTAAATCTTGTATCATTTGAATTTTTGTATCATTTGAATTTTTGTTTCATTTGAATTTGGATTCTTAACTTTTTTTATTACTTTTATTATTTTTATTATTTTTATTATTTTACACTTTTATACTTTATACTTTTATAGGCTTGTTACAATCGCATCGTACCCATGCGTCTTCGATGAAATTACCTTTATCCCTTAAACACCGTTTATACTTATGCCAGTTATTACATCTAGTATTTGATCGATCTTCTTTATCTTCTACCTCATTTCCACTAAAATCTACGCGTGTTTTACATCAAAATTCTTCCACAAATCCTTCTCAATTCACTTTCCC